GTCATATGTTCTAAAACCTTACCCTTGCAACAAAGTCCATATAGGGTTTTTTTGGCTTGTATCTTTATCTTTTTCAACGCGTCTTGCTGAACAATCTTCAATAATGACCCCGACTATTTGACGATATCAGAAACGAGAACAATGATCAAAGCAAGGTTATTTCCAAGCCTACCGGACATGAACCCAACAAAGTAACCGATGCTGACTAAACCTATTAATATTAGTTTTCTTTACACCATTATAAGTCCTTTCTACCAGCTAATTAGAAAACCACTGAGAGAGCGTGAAAGCAAAACCTTCTTGCGGCAATTACCGGTTACTGATCATTCAGCGGCGTAAACCAGTTGATCTCGGTCACGATTCCGGGATATCAAGACCTATTTAAGGAGAACTCACGGGCTTCTGCATGTCGCCACAAAAACATCTCCTTTAATCGTTTCAGCTTATTCTCCTTTACTCTCCTTTACAATCGACAAACTTACCTTTCAGGTATGAAAGTCTACACGGTGACCTTCGTGGCGAGTTCGCTCAGCGGCATCGCACTTGTTTGTTGCCTTTTGGCCATCGGCCAAATCTATAGCAACGTGCAAGACTTCTGGTCTGAGCTCGACATGGAGATGAGTGCTATTCGAGTAAGTAGCTCACTATTCAAATTAAAGCGCAGATAGCTAGCTCTCGAAAATAATCCAATTTTTAGACCCAAACCGACGAACTCTGGAAAGACCTGGTCCACATCGGCGTTGCTCGGCGTAAGCGTGAGGTCTATGCGACAGCACCATCATCGTCAGGAGGCTTCTCTGGTGGACCATCGTCAGGTGGCTTCACTGGTGGACCGAGTTGCGGTCCAGGCTGCGTCGGTCCAAACTGTGGCCCATGTGCTCCAGGGGCTTCGCACACAGGCGCACCTGCACCTTCATTCGGTCTGGCGCCATCTGGTCCAGGCCCTACTAGCGCTGGCTGCCAGTGCAAGAGTCCAGAACACAACAAGTGTCGTCACGGACCTGTTGGACCAAAGGGTAAGACCCTCGAACATATAAATCGCTGTGAATCTGAAGTTTCTGCTTTCAGGAGCGCCCGGAGTTCCTGGACCTAATGGTCTCCCTGGAGTTGATGGCAAACCTGGAGTCGACGCTTCAGACGTTACTCCTGAATCTCAAGATACCGGCATCTGTTTCTACTGCGCACACGGTCCCCCTGGCTCACCAGGACCAGTGGGTCGACCTGGCGCACGTGGAATGAAGGGAGCTGACGGCGTCATTGGACAGCCTGGTAAGGATGGTAATCCCGGATGGCCTGGAGAGATGGGTGCTCAAGGATCACAGGGACGTCCAGGCCCAGATGGACGACCTGGTGAGAAAGGAGCCGATGGACGCAAACCAATTGGACGCGTTGGACCAAAAGGCCAGCGTGGTCCAGCAGGAGACACTGGACCACAGGGTTCACCTGGTGATCCTGCTCCTACTGGAGAACCTGGACCAGTTGGACCACCTGGAGGAGCAGGAGTGGCCGGACCACAAGGTCTCGAAGGTCCACCTGGTTTCGAGGGTAATCCAGGAAGACCCGGAAGAGATGCAGAGTATTGTCACTGCCCAGCCAGAGGATTCCGTGGAGGTCATGCTTCCAAGAAAATCTAAGGAGCTATGTCAATTCATCTTGCTTTCATATCGAATAAATATAGTCACGCCAGTCGATCTTATTCAAAAAAAAACTAAAAAATAGTGAAATGAAATTAAACACAGTTCTTATACCTCAGTAAACTCCTGCTTTGATAAACTGCAAATCGATTTGCACAATCGCAACAGGGTCGTACAGACAGCTTCCTGTTCCTCCACACCACATCCGCTCACATATTCCACCAACAAAAACGCCGCATCCGTCAACATTTCTAGTTGGGATTCTGAAAAATCATGGATCATCCCTTGTTATTGCCCCCCCCCCTAGTTTGGCTTGAATAACCACGGTTCTACAAAATCTATCAGCCGGAAAAAAAACTAACCTATCGAGAAGAACGGAACTGGAGCGAACATGCCAATGCCATAACGTTCAGCCCAAGAGCTACATCCAGAGACCAGCCTGCTTGAGGCGCCAACGTCGGCTGAGGCGGAGAGGGGGTGAGGCGGTGGGTCCAGACCATACCGCTCCCAGCACTCGCTCACCCATGCCCTACCATTCCAAGCAGAATCCAGGAACGACATTCATTTGTCTTGATTCGGCTGGGCGCTATTCGAACACTGAGTGTAAGAAACCTTAGCCGGGCCATTAATTGCTTGCACCTTGATCGTCAACCGCTGTAATGGATGTGAGAGCCCAGAAAAGTAGACAGCCCTTAGAAAAGATTTGTTACAAAAGATCGACGATTTTCTGCCGAAAAATAACAATTTAAAACCGCTATAGTAAACCAAAAAAACCCAAGTCATATGTCATCTCCAAAACTGCTGGCTACAACCGTGCAAGTTATGCTTTTAAGCTTTTTCTCAGAGTCAAATGTTGAAAATGTTTTAAAGAGGTGTCAAGGTTGTGAGCGAGGCACGATGAGGCATCAGAGTGGAATAAATGGTTCTTGTAACACAAGCTTGAAATCACAAATGCCTCCCTTACTTCTGGGTCTCTCAGTGTCTACAATGCGATATGCCTGCGCCTTACTCGTACCATTACTCCGACCTCCTCTTCCGCGTCTAATGCTTTTTTTTGCCGCTGTCTAGTCCATTATATCAAAACGAGGCTCCATTTTGAATATGCACTAGGTAATTCTATTTTTGTGCACATTAAGCAAAACCAGGCAAACGTGGAATACGTATGCCTTCGAAAAAAGCTCAGTGCTAGATAGATAAAAAATCGCTTCATTCAGTAAAAGGCAAATGGTGTGACAATTAATTTCATATCGCTTGAATCGCACCCAGGGATTCCCTCCCCTTGCAAAAATTGGAATTTATGTGAACAGCAGCAACTGTCGCACGACATGCCCTTCCTTACTGGATGAGACTCAAAAAAAGAAATTCTCTGTTCCTGTTGGACTCGCCGAGCTGAAAGCTCCTTAGAATTCATAAATAATCCTTCAAAACACATGGGTACCCACCCTTGTAACAGCAGTCGTATCCTCCGCTTGGGTGCTTACAATCTCACGAGTCAAAAGCTCATGAAGGTAATCAATGTCGTACTGAGCGATATTGAAGACTGTTGTCGTTTTACAGGTGTCAAAGAGCTGAAATACAAGTCATACAAGAAGAGATTGAAATATTTTAAACAATTCCATTAAAATATTTTCAAACAATTCCACCGTGATCAAAGTTTTCATCGAATGATTCCTAAAATAGGGATTGAAAAAGATCACATTGAGCTGAGTTCTACATATATTTGAAGCTCTCTAACAGATAACCCAGTCACGTGTTCCTTTTCCGTCAACGTGTACGAACGTTTGCGCATTGCAAAACCGATTCGGTGCGAACACATTACTACGGAAGAAGCCTCGCTAAAAAAATGGGCATACTCCACATAGAATCACACCATCGTTTATCACACTGGCCACATCGTGGTTTACAAAGTGTGGTCCGACGTAGGAATTACACCTTGAAAATCGTTAGGGACGGCGTGATCCCATTTAGAATCACGGTGGATGCGTGGCGCCCGCTTTGTGCGGTCAAACTTAAAACGCGCGACGTTTTCAATGTTTTACCACGAAAGCTGTGCAGAGCTTGTATCAGCGCCATAGTCTCATCAACATTGCTTTCAGCAATCACGATTAGACAAACAGAGTTTGAACTGACTGAGCGTTTCGTTATGAACTGGAGAGAGAAAAGGAATAAATTAGAA